AACCCAGCCCTCTCGAGACCGGGCTCGATAAGGGGGCCGAGCGGCTACATGGAAAAGCGATCGTCTTCGACAACATTCCCCCTCCCTCCAAAATACGATCCCCGCATTAGCGCATGACTAACATGTGGTGTCATCCTTTCATTTACATAACGACGTCCTACTAATGCTATTATTACCAAATCAATTAAAACAAAACTGGACCCATATTCAAGTACATTAGTCATATTCGAATCATCTTATAGTCTTGTTCGAGGCGGATGAAGGCACGTCAGGCGGGATGGGTTTGGCACGGTGCGCAAGCGACAGCACTGTACCAAATTGTTCACATCAGTCGCTTTCTACAATGTTGGCACCGCGCCAAACCAGTTTCGCCTGAAAGCCCATTTATCTGCATCGAACAAGACTGAACACCTGTACATGACATTCACACAGTTATCAAATACCCGATGAATGATCGATATACAAAAACGATAATGAAGAGACTAGACTTTACATAGGGGAACTATAGGAAGGAAAAATGAATGCAAGACAAAATGATCAGGGGAAACATACGTAAATCATATCAGGACGGGTGTCGCTTAACAACTGACTCATCCTATTTGCTAACAAAATCATCAGACACCGACAATGCGACAACATAACAAAAAGGATAGATTCGAGGATAGATTCCGCGATAAGTGGATGGGCGGGCACTCACAACCGTAGCGTCTCCCCCGTTGGTGCGCCCCTCTTCAGTTACGGAGAAGTGGGAGGCGAAGGCTTTGGCGCAATGCGACTATCAGTGAGATCATGTCTCATGAGTCTTCTAATAAAATCGAGCTAAAGTTAAGATTGTTCACATCGGCGCCCGCACTTTCCAAATCACGATATAGCTCGACAAGGGATGGGGAATCTCTGCTTGATTTCGCTTTGATCACCGCATCGTATTTTGTCGAATTCGGCTCACCAATCAATACAACGTCAACAATCGTGCACATCTGAATCAACTGTTCCACTGGCCCTGAAAAGTACGACTTCAGTCGATATCAGAAGATTCGCAAGAAAACAGGTATAATCGACCAGGACCGACTATCCCTTAATCTCGGCATGGTTGTGATGTCAATTTAGTAGTTCACTTGAGCCGACCAAGATTGTTAACATTTATTAGGCCAACGTTTCGGCTTGTTCGCCTTCGTCAGAGCCTGAAAGAGTCAAAAAACAGATGTGACTTGTTCTCTCAAACGCCTAACTAAAACTGAAGACCATTTCGAGAAGCCGGATACAAAGTCGGCGTCGATCTATTCAATACGTTGCCTCGCGTGCAATGGTGAGTATATAGGAGAAACTGGTCGTCCGCTGCGCGTACGGGTTAAGGAGCACTTGGATGGTCTGCGAAGATCACGTATCCAAACTCCTTTGGGGGGTCATCGAGTTCACTGCCACGATGATGTCGAATTCCAGGTGACCGTGTCTATCCTGGCGCAGGAACCTGAGATCGCTGCGCGGAAGACCTTGGAAGCATTCTGGATTTCGGCTAGAGACCCCCAAATGAACAGGAAAGAGGAGTGTGTGGCCATTACACCCGAGAGCTTTGCGCCCTCTCTGCCTGCTGTGGTCTTTTGATTCTACGTGAGGTGAGGCGAGGTCGAAGGGCGGAGGGGCAGGTCTCACTTATTGCATCAGTACAGCCTGGGTGGTCCATCTCGCGTCACCGCGATCAAGGTAAGCCAAGTCATCTTTACTGACCGATACAGTTAGGTGGTTTACCGGCTTCTCGAAATGGTCTTCAGTTTTAGTTAGGCGTTTGAGAGAACAAGTCACATCTGTTTTTGACTCTTTCAGGCTCTGACGAAGGCGAACAAGCCGAAACGTTGGCCTAATAAATGTTAACAATCTTGGTCGGCTCAAGTGAACTACTAAATTGACAAAACAGGTATAATTAGACAAACCGTCATCCGTCGACCAAAAGAGCGTTAGTCGTGAAGAAGACTCTTCAAATTTTGGTTCACGACGCATTTCCAATGACTGTAAATAAACCCTTCAGTACACTCCATATCCCGGAAATGGAGGGGGGGGGGCGTGGCTGCGTACTCTATTCGAACGTGGTGGAGGGGAAACAGTGCTTCTCGTGAGACATCGCTGTTCTGGAACAACTGTAGTCATACCTTTTTATAGCACAAGACAGGATAACAGTTGTCCCCAATGAAAAGGACCCGTGAAAACGCAACGTACGCCATTTCTATATGAAGTAGTGACGCAGGCCACGCCCTCTGCCATTTTCCGGATATAGATGCACTTGCTGAAATACGCAAGTAACCCTGATGGCAGCACAGGTACAGCTACGTTTCAGTACGATCTCAATATACGTCACCGACATACAGGACATGTCAATGATGACGTCACCTGACAGTGGTTACGAGTATAATTTCCTCGCTTATTAACAGCGTGAATGTGACATCTACACCACTAACATAGTTCAGCTACGTCAATATCCTAATCCTATCCTAATTTATAAAGCAGCGGTCAGACTTCGCGATAACGAGCGTCGACGCGCTGTAACGCGCGACATCGCGAAGTCTGAACGCTGCCTAACAGATTGCGAACCCGTGCTACACCTGCCCCTACCCAAGCATGGAATACACAAAAAACGAGTCAGGCAAGGGCGTGATTACCTATGACGTAGACCCCGCTTCCCAACAACACCGTATTTGAATGCAAAGAAGACGTCAAAGGCCATGCAAGCCCAATTCATGACAACTCCCTTCGCTTCCATTGGTCCAATTTTCTGAAATGAGTATAAGAGCAAAACTCAACGAGTAAAAGTTTCCCCTAAATGTAGATCAGAAGATGCAGCCACACTGATCGTATCGACGGCGTCATTGTGCCCACCTAATATATAGCCCCTAATATGGTAGAAAGGAGGGCGGGCCAACGAGCAAAGCACGCTTGTAGGCCCGACTCCGCCCTGCATCACATGGAGCGTGCTTCAGGTATCCGTTGCAACGGAAGTATTTGTAGCTTCCTTTCGTTATCATTCCCTTACTTCCATTCCTATAATACAGGGGGGGGGAGAATGCAAAAAAAAAAGACACTTTTTTGCAGGGCTGTATAAGTTACACATTGTTAAGTTCTGACTGGACATTTCCACCACCATGTTCAACAACATACACTATCACGATACTCCGCCACAGCCTTCTGGACAGAGTACAGCACTGTTGTGTGAAAGGGGGGGAGGGTCGTATTTGGTCGTTGGGAGAGAGGGGTCGCATATGCCTTTGAAGGAAATTTCGTGGCGTTGTTTCCGTTGTTGACTTCTGCGTGATGTTTCCTTGTTTTCATGTGCACTGTATACCCCCCTTTCCCGACTCTGACAGCAATTAGGGAAAAAAAGTAGGAAAATTTTCGGGAAACCCGGAAAAGTGGTACGAAGCTGGGGAAACTCATCCCGTTTCACACTAGCTATATATCCTCCCCCCTTTCCACGACGGAAAATTTTTGGGTGAAAAACTGGACTGGAAAATGGGGAAAATTTGAATTTGTAGGTAAGTGTTACGAAAGGAGGAGGAGGGGGGGCGCACCGAGATCCTTATTTAGGTGGGGTGGAGGGTCGTACTGATACCCTCTCCCGTAGGGGGGGGGTCGTACCTACACCACCACGATGCTGTACCCTGCTTCTGGACGAGCGCCATCGAGAGATTCTGCCACACTGTGATTAGGCGCCTGAATTCAGCGGCGCCGTTGATTTCTCCAGCACTTTAGACCATCCTGGTGAGCTGCGAACCCGGTAATCGAGGGGGATTAGAGCAGGTAGCACACTTGGAATATTCCGTCTTCTTCGAGTCCCTCATGCCCTCCCTATTCAAGAAGGCGACGTTTTCGCGATCCGCCCCTCGATATTCCATGTGCCTGCACCCAATCCTGTAGGAACTTTCGACGGCCAAACGGCAAAAGGCCTTGGCGACTCCGGCTGAAAGATGATATCCTGGAAACATAAGCGACGTTGTCGGAGCTGCTCGATGTTGGAGGTCTCCAGATCAAGAGTACTGGTCTCTCCAGGTAGCTCCATGGATGACTCCATACAAGAAGTTTCGCAGCTGTTTGGAGGTGACGTGAATTCCAACTCCAGTCAGGCTGCGATTGGAGATGACTTCATATTTTGGTGTACATGAAGGTGATGGGCGAGAGCCTGCTCCTGCTTATCGAGGAACATCTTGGGTATCTTCCGCCCTGGTACTCGTATCCACGTCTTCTGTCTGGGCTGCGTAAACTTTACTGATATGTGACTCGGCCAAATGGTCTTTTATAGCCCCGCCCCCCGTACATCCAATTGGGAAAGGGAGCAAATACTTCACAGCAAAAAGCAAAAAGTTTCATAAAAAAAATGAAGTCTTGCCCGTTGCACAGTCCCTTTCAGGGATGCGACACGCATCACTTCCTTCCAGAACCGTAGTGGCTTACTGAGCGCCAGGTGGCCTATAGAAGGACTTGAGGAAGCCAGTAGCCCCGAAGAGAAGAAGGCTTGGCGAGTGTTAGTGGTAGCGTGCCACCTGCCGTTACACACCTCGCCTCAGGAAGAAAGGTCCCACAAATGCAGATAACTCCCATTAAGTTAGACATGGCCCCTCCGTAGCGACTGAGAAACACGATCCCACTCTGTGCCGTAAAAGAAGCGTCAACGCTCGGCGTACCCTTGATATAATTAGCCTTATATAACAACTAGGAATTTTCATACTGAACGGTATTACCCTAAAGACGAATCGCCAACAATAACTGAGGATGCCGATAACCTTTTAGGGACATCTGTAAGATTTCTTGTGCTTAACAAGGATCTCGGTGCCGGAGAGAGGCTCTTTCGCCTGAACTTCGAATGAGGAAGGGGTTTCAGAGGGAGTGAACCAACTGCAAGCACAGTAATTCTAACGGATGACGTTATTACCAATTTGGCGCTAGTAGGCCTTCGATTGCCTTGCTTAACCGATCGGAATCCTCCATTCTAGTTTGGCACTAGGAGTCCTTCAAATGACCCTCTAAGGTAATCATCGCGTAATTATACTCACCTGAACCATAACAGCGAAAAATGTCTCAGCACTGCTCTCGCTAACCTTCTTTGCAGTAAGCTTCTTGTCGTTACAATGTTGAGCCTTAACAATAGCATTATGCCATCAAAGGTTTTTTCAGTCCAGAACAAAGCTTAACCGCGGCACTCGTAGGCTGGTGAAGGGACTCCTGCGCTGTTCGGCTTGGGGGGGGACATTTCGCACATTTTTCCTTAAATCACACGTCCAACCTGGTGAAACCAGTAAACTCTTGTCACAAGTAAACGATGCTGATGCTGCTGCA